GCTCATCCTCACGCTGGATCCAAATCCAATGCCCCTACTGTTGCCAACACTGAAACAAGAAAAAGGTTTTACTTCGTGAGAAGGCAGGAAAAAGAAACCACAATAAATCACGTGCCACTGCTGAATATCTCTGGGAGAGCTCGTGCCATCCCTGCAAAGACACAGAGGAACGAGGGTACTGGGGTGGGGGAGAAAGAGAGAAACTCCAGCCTAATTTAGCAGCACTGGGTCTCAGCGTAGCAGGAAGAGCACTCCAATCCCAAACAGCAGCTGCTGCTGCACAGGCCAGAGGGGCAGGTGAGGAGGAAGCTGCAGCTTGGAGCGGCCAAGCCAACATGCAATGAACGCCAGCAGTCTGAACGCTGTCAAGAGAGGGAGACTGACAGGAGGCTGCCCTTGCTCTGCCCACCCCCGTGACTCCACAAGTGTGACTACACGTGCTCCCCCCAGCTTGCCCTAACTTGTAGCATGCTTGACCTACCTCCTGGGTGTCTTGCCAGGCTCAACTCAGCCTCTGCAACGGCCCCATGATGAAAAGCTCTGTCTAAAGCAGTGCAAAGTACTGCATGTGCTGGTTTCCGACAACACTTGCCAACTGCTTTATTCCATCCCAATGCAGACAAAGGCTCACCACACACAGCACTGAGACCCAGGCTCAGCCCAGCACCCATGGCAACCAAAGCCCCATGCCCAAGTTGACACCGGTTTTAGCCACACAGCACAAACTCCAGTTCATGCTTTAGCTAGAGAAATGCAAAAGTCTTTCATACCAGACTGCACCTTATCCTCAGACACCCTTCTTGTTCCTCCCACTCCTCCAGAGAACATGCAAGGTTTTATTGCCATCAGGTGCAAGTCAGAAGCAGCATTGACCCATGGTATGGGCTGAGCAGCACCTGCGGGACCTGTGCCAGGGCCAGAGGGAGCATCTCATCTTACCCCTCAAAGGAGGGCAGAGGATCTCTTATTGCCCAGGGGATTAGCCCACAGTTGTTCGCCTTTGATGAGAGAGGAGGCAGGCATGTGAGCCCAGCTCAGCATGGACGGTACCCTCTGTCAGTCAAAGGTCTGGAAGTTGCAGCAATCAAAGCCAGAAAGTGCCTCAGCTGAGCAGAGCTATAACTGGCAAGTACAAAACACAGCAACATTCCTGCTTTGTAGTCTTGTACAAGATCAGAGAGAGACCTTAAGCTTTCCACACACACCCTTATCCCCAAATACTCAAGGCACCCCTGAATAGCAGGACTGAGGCCTGGATTCCCGCAACCTGCTGGCTCGGGTTTTCTTATGCCTAATAATCTACTTAAATTTACATTATGGACCACCTCCTTTCCCACAGTGGGATTCTTAATTTGGTTTCCTTTCTTACTGGTTATATGTTTTGATGAATTCTGGAAAATGCAGTGGTTTGGAGACTCCTGATAAACAGGGCTGAAATTGGCCACCAAAGTACAAAGCTGTAAGGGTGAAGTAGTGCAACTTCACAGTCTTTTCCTCCCAGTAAAACTGGGCTAAAAATGGATCCCGCAAGTGCACTGTTTAGTCACTGCACCAAGAAAAACCCAAGAGCTCAAATCCTGTCTGAAATATACAGTTTGGGCTAAACAGCCCTTTCTATTCTTGGCTTCTTTTAGGCAATAGATTATTCAGGGCTTTTAAATACTTCAAACATTTGAAGAGAACCGTATAAGAGCTTATTGATGCCTCTTTCCTTACCTGACTTAACTCCTGAACCCTTCTTGCCTGTCCTAGGATAGACAAGGCCATTAGGAGGTGGGAGCACAGGTGAGAATGGAAGCACTGCAGTGACATATCGAAGTACCACTCCCCACCAAAACCCTCAGAGCAAGCTCAGATTTAGGTTGAGGCTGGTGCTTGGGCTGTAGATGCCAGCTGCTTCACTGAGCAAGCCCATGCCATCAGGCTCGTTCCCTCACCCCATTGTCCCTCCTCAGCTGCACTGGGGTTGTGCCAGATTGCCCCTGCGGCCACCACGCAGCCAGGGATCAGCTCCCACGATGGCTACACCAAGAGTGCACGCTTAAGCTTCTTCCAACAAAGTTCTGGGGCCTGCATAGGGTGAGCTGGGATTCAGGGTCAAAGTATCAGTAATGCCTTGGTAAGCACCCAAGTGCTCCAGGAGGGTCAGTAACCCGACATGTGGAGCCTGATGCCACTCCTCCACGCTGCCCAGCAGCCACTTCTCAACCCCCAGCCACTTTGTAAGCCCCACCGATTTTCAGCAAAGCAAAAACCTGAAGGACAGAGGCTTAGTGAGCTGAAGGTCAGAGCTAAACACACCTGTGCCTGACTCCGTGGGGGCAGAGTGCAACCTCATCTTATAGCACGAGGACACCACTCCATGGGGCAATGAAAGGGGGAGAAAGGAGCAATCAAAGCTCCCTGGTGGGAAGTGGGAGCTTCAGCCCAAAATCCCACAGTGCCCTTTTGCTCTCTGGAGGTCAGGTATTAGAGCACAGACACCACAACCTGGTCACTATATAGGCACGAGAGCCGGAGGTGAAGGCAAAGAGCAGAAACTATTTCAGGTTACGTGACCCCAACTCCACCAAATAGGATTGTCATACACAATCCAATTGGCCGAGGCGGGTCACAGTGCTGAAAATAGTTCTGTACTCTTGCCCTCTTAGCTGGTAAATAGCTTTCCACCCCCAAAAGTGCTGAGCTGCACTATGCATTGGTGGAAACAGCTTGCGCAAAAGTGAGACGGCTTGAGGAGGGGGAAGGGGAAACCTGGGCAGCGGGTGAAATGCTGCTGCGGCATATTCAGGTCAAAAGGACACCCTGAAAGGAGCCATCGAAAAAAAAAACTTTAAAAACTGCAACAAAAACCTCACGATAAATGAGTTTAAGGATGCACACCACTTAAAGTTTCATCTGTGATTTCTATTTAGGCACATCTCATACACAAAGCCTGCATGGTTAGCGTGGGACAAGGAACATAAGAAGTGGCATAGGACAGAATCTATTAGCACACAGAACCTGGCCCTCGTCATATAATCCCTTTCACAGACAGATCAAGACTCATCTTAAAGATTGTATGGGTGTTTTGCTTCTGTTACTCTGCCTGGAAGCTTCTTCCCAAACTTCTTTGACTTAGCGGTTTGAAATTTTGCTTTAACATCCTGATTAGATTACCAAAACTGATTTATAGGAGCCTATACCGTTGCCAGCACCTTCCCTTAGCCTTAAAAAGCTCTTCCCCCATCACAGTGTTTACCTGCTGACATATTTACAGAGCTCTCCCATACTTCCCCTACCATTTTCCTGAGGCTAAAAAGTCCAAGCTCTTCTAATCTCCCCTTGTAGGACAATCTTTCCATTGCCTCATCATCCTGACAGCCACCTGCTTCAGCACAAGTGCAACTTCTGCTTAGCAAGATCAGCTAAGAGCAGCTCCCTCTGCCCAAAGCAGGAGACAAGGTTTTGGGAGGTTGCTTTTTTGTTGTTGTTGATGATGATGATTGGGTTTTGTTGGTTTGTATGTTGTTGTGGGTTTTTTTTTTTTAAACAAACTTTCTCCCTTTGAGTTTTGGTCACTAGATTTTTCAGTATCAACATTTTGGTCTTCTCTGATCCCAGGGGAGTTGCATTCCTTAAGCCCTTTTAAAGCTCCCTGCACTCAGCTGCCAGGACAACCCCACGGACAGCCCATGGCTTTCCTGTCCCCACCATGGGTTGTTGGGAAGACAGCAAGGAGAGGTTGATGCTGGAACAATGTAATTTCTGCTCTCTGGCACAGGCGATTCAAACAGGAATGACATCCCTAGCTGGCAGCACAGGGCAAAAGAAAAGTGTGCACTCAGTGATACCCAGCAGGAGCCTTTATCCACCAAACTCCCCAGGCTGGAGGAGCAAGCAGGGCTCTGCAGGGTTGTCTCCTTCCTCCTGCCCCTTCCCAGTACTTGCAGGACACTCACTCCCTCCTGCTCTGTGTCCATTAGCATGGGATGATGCAACTAGACTTTTACTGCAATTCGCTGAGGAGCGCTGCTGTCCAAACTGATGAAACAGCAATTCGGCAGAGGATGCAGGAGGCACTTTAGAGAAGTGGCAGTGACACCAGACAAGCTTTCACCACATTTATCAAAGTGCCTGCAGATTCCATTTCAGGGCGGTAGCAACACTTATAAATAATGAGCAGAGCTCCTCTGCATCTAGAGCATTTTAATAAATAAAAATGCAAAAAAGAAGCCTAAACAGCACAGTTAGTTCTGCTTCTGCAATCTTTTTAGTCTTCTGGCGATATATACCAATGATTTTCTCCTTTGCAGTCCCTGAAAGCATGATTCTCCCTGGTGTCACATCTCTCTGATGTCCCTTTAGCACAGGCATGATCTTTCATATACAAAGGCCATGCTATTACACTGCTAGTGACAAATGCAGAGCCCTATGCTTGTGTGTGTGCGCACACGTGTGCGTGTGTGTATGATTTCACTCACCAGCTGCTTGCTCAGGCTCCAGGCACACAATAAACCAGCCCAACCCCTTCCCCGCACGCTCTAGCTTTATGCATACCCTCTTCCTTCCAATAATTCCTGGGTTTAAGGATGGCATTGGAGGAGGGTGTGGGGGGTGTGGAGGGAGCAGTGTCTGTTTCCTATTTCATCATTCAACTTTAAGTCCTCATGAAGAATGACAAAGGAAAAAGCAGGAAAATATTTCCCGAGACCCAGCTCAGCCAATGTCCCACCTTCCCACCCCAGAGCATCCCCACTGCCCTACCCATGAGCCAGTTTACAGCACAGATGATAAAATACTTAGTGATCTTCCAACATGGGCTCGAAGGGCAATGTGGAGCCCACCCACACCATCAAAGCAACCTTTCCAATACCACGTTTTCTTATACACCATTAAACTACAGCCTGACCTAGTAGGACAGCTGGATCACAACACAGGTACACACAGCAGCACAGGCACACACGCACACTGCCCAAAACCCATCCCACGCTGCAAGGATGCTCTGCCAGAGCACTCACATCTCTGGAGGTCCTGCATGGTTCTGGTGGTGCATCCTGTGACCAGGCTCGAACAAGGTGTGCCACTATGAGCCTTTGTGCTTTATTCAGCCTTTACAGGTCTTGGGGAGCAAATTCAGGACGGCTCAAGTCTCTGCTGCACGCCCTGCGGTGCCTGCCCTTTCACGCCCAGCTTGAGTGATGTCCACCGTATGGCACAGTAAGTATGCCCTCTCCGCTAATGTGCTTCACAGCCTAATTAAACCCCTGCAGAAAGAAGATATTTTCTCTGCGGCTTGCTGCGAGTTATCCGCGCAGACTTGCCGAGGTGCAGCAGCAGCTGCAGAAGAAAAGAGCATCCTCTCTGCAAAAGAGAAAGAAAGGTGCCGTGGAGAGGGAAAAGGCTTCTACTGGAACAATTTACTTTGCTGAGGAATCCTGGGGAGTGCCAGTTCACCGGAGCTTCCCAGTTTCCCCCTCCAGCATGGCAGGCAGCATGAGCCAGGAGCCAGCCCGCTGCAGCTGCTGCCAGGGTACCAGGTTTGCCAGAAAAATACACCTGCTGTGCTGGTGGGAACCCACCTCTCCTTCCCAGGCTGTTCAGGCAAATGTATCTGAATCTAAAACAAGGGGCACACTGTTACCGAAACCACGAAACCCTAACAAGCGTAAGAAGTTTGTTCTCCTCTCGCTGCCCGCTCACAATGGTCGTCCCTGTGGGTCATGCGGGAAAGCAAAAGAGGGCAGACAAACAGTTCCCAGGACCCTTTCTCTTTGTGGGTCCCAAAGGAACAAAAAAACCTCCAAAAAACAGAGCAAATACGATACATGTGTCACAAAAATATTTTAAAAAAACCAACCAACCAAACAAAAAAAACAGGGGGAGAAAAATAAATAATCTAAGTTCAACTGCCCGAGTATCACTATGGAGCTGAAGAGTCTGCTCCTCTTGGGAAGGGCTTCCTTTCTTTGTAAATGTGTCCTGCTGAATTAGGCAGAGATGCCAGTGAAGGAAAGCTCCCTTCCCAGCAGGCAAAGTGCAAATTCAAAGACGTAAGAATGCAGATTGCAGCTGTCAAAGAAAACACTGAGCTGTTTCCAGGACCGTATTTATAGCTGGATTTAAAGGGCTTTATACAGTATTTAGAGCTACTGTTGGGTTTGGGGTTTTTTTTGTGGGGGGGTGACTTCTGCATTTCCTTTTCATTAATTGGGAGTCATCCAAGTGATAACCATATGCAGATTGGTTAATAAAACTGAAATGCAACAAGCTGAACTATCATCACATCTCATAGCTAAACACTCCTACTCCGGAAATGAAATGCTGAAGGTTCTCATAGTAACATTATCTCAGCATTTTACATACCCAACATCCAGCAAAACAGTCTTTGAAAAAAAACACAAAGAAATACTCGTACTGAAAATACAATCTTCTCTAAGCACAATAAAGACAAGATAACATTTCCCAAATGTCACAATTTAGAAACCTATTCATCTGAGACATTAATGTTACAGAACACAAGCATCTGTATTTTTCTCTGCCTGAACTGCCTGCAACCTTCCCCATTAAAAAAAATAAAGGATCAGCTCAGTAATGTATTACCAGTTATGTATAACTGGAGCTGCTCGGCCTGAACAAATTCCACAGGCTTCACCAGCATCAACTCTGTAAGAGGGAGTGCAGCATTTAAAAGCTACCTGGTAAGAAGGTCCCCTTCTGCAGAGTATATACACTCCACAGAAGTACAAAGATTTCCACAATCTGTAGGCTGTGTTAAAATTTGCCTAGAGTTTCCATGCTGAAAATGGTCACAAGAGCCCAAAAATTCCAGTGGGACTCAAATTGTTTTCCTTTGGGCCCCTTGCAATTCTTCAGTTGGTAATGTTAATGTGAGGTCTGATCCCGCCTGGCTCTGAGTATCCACAACGTTCCTTGGGTACTTCCACAGGGGCTGTCAGCTATCATAGCTCCACTGCAGCGCCGAGCAGAACAGCACATCAGCCCCTATAGACTCCAACAGCACCCAGTGCTCAGCTTCCTCAAAATGTGTGAACATGTTTCATTCGGTTTGTTTTCTATTCCTTTTTTCTTCCTATGGCAAAGAGCAAGAAGGTCTCTTCTAATAAAGCAAACTGACTGAGTTTCTACATACTTTAATTTTGACCGTTTCATGTCACAAAGAACCTTCCCCAAAAGATCAAAACAAAGCCACAATCCCTCACACCTCCACAGCACCTTCTTCTTTTCAGAGCACAGTGACACCACTCCATATAAACACAAGTGCACACATGAAACATTGCCACATCAATGTCTGGAAATGCCCTCCTCTAGGCTGAGACCAAATTGGTAGACTCCATCCCAGTAAGAGAGCCCTTCTTGCTAGTCATGGGAAAGCTGAGAGCGCAATGAGATTTCCAGTGCTGATACAGGCAGCCAGAGAGCTGCTCACAGGAGGAAGAATCATCCTGCAGTTATGCCGCCTGGATGGGAAGGTGACTTGGTACCTTCTCCCGGGTACTGCCACCAATTTACTCCAAGTGTCCACTAATTGCTTACGTCCGGGTGCTGGGAATTTTTCAGTGCCTAATTTCCAGTGAAGTCAGTGGACACCAGGATAACAGCACGGAGCCATGTGCTTCCATACCTCTGTATGTCTGTCTCCTGCTCTCCTTTCTGTCACTTTACCCATGGGCATGGTCAGGGAGCCACAACCACCCGTTCTTCACACGGGGCTGGCTCCATCGCATGAGCGTTGGGGTAACCAAAGAGCATCACTCAGGGCACCGACCCCCAGAGCTTGAGGAATAGGAAATGCTGGATTTCTAGTGCTTCTGCTGGCAGAAGAGAAGCAGTCACCTATCTGCTGCAGACCTCCTCCACCTACCTGAGTGAGCCCCTTAAGTGCTTGCAAGCTTCAGCACCACCCTCACCACCAGTCCTAACCCTGCAGTCACAGCAGGGGTGGAACCACAGGAGGCGAAAGCAAGACCTCTGAGAACCCTACACACCCTCCAGCTCTCGCTTGCTGCAGAGGGAGGGTCGCTCACTTGAATTAATGTCTCCATTAACGAGGGGAAACCAGGACTGCAAGATCTCAGTACACAAGAGGGCGTCAGCAGAGGACAAACGAAAAGTATTCGGTGGAAAAACCAAGCCAGACAAAAAGCAGCGCAGCTAAATTAAAACGTTAAGAAGTGACCAGAAGCAATCATTACCTTTCCTTATCAGCAGTTTACCCGTACTGACAGAAGAGAAAGGTTTCTCATTTTCGCCCGCTGTCAACTGGCGGTTTAACACGTTGTAACCGGTTTTAGTGGGCTTTGTTCGCTGCCAGCCTTGGCAGAGGTCTGCCTGGCCTCATCACTGTCCCCACGCTCCAGCTGGCTCTTCCTACAGCAGCAGAGAGGGAAGCCTGCTCTGCTGCTGCCCCTTCTGTGCCTGCTCCGCAGAATTTAAATGTCATCTGTATGACACTATTTGGGGAAAAACACACACAAACCCGGAGTCCCCTACCTCTACCCACAGAGGATAAAAAAAAATGAAAAAGCAATATGGTTCAGAAAAGCGGCGCCTACAGCCATGCTGGCACATCACAACGGCAGGAGCTCCACTGTGTCTTTGAACTCAGTTCTCCTCATGCCACCAAAAGCTCCTGGAATCTGAAGGCAGCAGAAGTAGCCAGCAAGCTCCTTCCCACCTTGCTAGGGAGAGGAGCTTCCCATGGCAGAGACCAATCCTTCGTGACACCTACACCAGCATCATCTGGGGGCTAAACTCCAAAAATATTACCAGAGGGGGCTATCAGCCCACATCCACATCTGGCTGAGCTAATAAGACTCCAGCACTTCATAGAATCATAGAATGGTTTGGGTTGGAAGGGACCTCAAAGATCATCTAGTTCCAACCCCCCTGCCATGGGCAGGAACACCTCCCACTAGAGCAGGTTGCTCAAAGCCCCATCCAGCCTGGCCTTGAACACTTCCAGGGATGGGGCAGCCACAACTTCCCTGGGCAACCTGTTCCAGTGTCTCACCACCCTCATAGTAAAAAATTTCTTCCTGAGATCTAATCTGAATCTTTTTTCTTCCAATTTAAAACCGTTTCCCCTTGTCCTATCATTACACCTCCTGGCAAAGAGTCCCTCCCCAGCTCTTCTATAGGCACCCTTCAGGTATTGAAAGGCCTCTATAAGGTCTCCCCGGAAACTTTAAACCCATCTGGCTTGCTACGGAGTCCTGCATGGAGACATACTCAGTGTGGTGCGATGGGGCAGGAGGGTTTGGTTTGCCCAGGCTCACAGGCCCCAGGCCAAGGGATTAGATGATGCTCCTTTGTCCTGCCTTGACCCTGAAGTCCCTGTAGACGGGAAGCCACAGCTGTGTGCCTGGAAAAACACCAATACAGAAAGCTACCTGTTTGGCAAAATGTGGTTTTTAGAAGAAAACCTCAGGGGTGAGGTTTTTCTTTCTTTCTGACCTGAGGCATGGGTGCAAACTCAGGAGGCAGGCGCCTTGGGCACAGTGCAAGCTCACCCCCCGTGTCATACAAGCCTTTGGCAGAGGACCCTATCTCATCCCTCAAACCTTGCTGCCACTCCAGTTTAACTTATCCCTCCCTTTTTTATTACCTCCGCGCCACATGAAAACCAGCTGTGAGTCAAACAAGCCTCTGACAGACCGTAAAGCCCTAAGTGGGGACAGGCTGGGGCTGCTTAAAATGAGTGGCGTGTTGCCCAGGGCCGGGAGCCTGCCCCCCACCAGCCCGGCGCCCGGTCTTCAGCTGAGGGGCTGAAAAGCCCCATTGAGGACAAGCGGGGACGTCAGGGCTGGCTGAACATCCCCTCGGTGAACAGTGGGCTCCTTGTTTGCCCGCCTAGGCAGTGGGGAAGCCTCAGCAGAAAGCCTGCTATTGAAATGGAAATCAGGGCCTTGCACCCAGCCAGGAGGAGGAGGAGGGTCGTTGGTTCCTCCCAAACAACAACATGGGCTCTGGGAGACTTTGGATGGGGGAAAGGATAGAGGGGAAGGGGATGGAGGAGGGGAAGAGACTCTCCAG